CCAAGAGGTGCGGGGGATCCCCCAGCACCCTCAGTCACCCCGCACCGTTCCCCGGCAATGAGACCCAGCCGGGCCTGGCCCTGCCCGGGAACAGAGCCACGTGCGGAAGGAAGGCCACCCCTTGGACCCATCAACCAGGCCAGGAAGCGACGTCCCCATCTCCGGGTGCCCAGCCTCCAGAGCCATCTGGCAGGGGAAGACCCCCCCACCTGGACCCTCAGACGCTGCCTGCGGCGGCTCCCTGGGGATCCAAGGCGATCAGAGAAGCACCAGCAACTCTGTTTATTTTCAAATGACACTTTTTAAGAAAAACAGCCTCACCCGAATGCTTGGCCCTGAGTCTGGAATGTGGAGAGACGAACAGCTGTCCGCCGCCCCACCAGCACACACAGCCCTCGGCTGGGGGTAGGGGCTGGGGGCACCCTGGGGGACACTGGCTGTACACGGTCAGGGTAAGGAAACTGGCTCTGGGCTCTGTTCCGTGTCTCCTGTGCCCCAGCGTGGCCCTGACATCCCTGCAGACCCAGCAGGGCCGGCTTGTCTTGGCCAACCCGCCGGCCCCATCGCTCCAGGCTTGGAGTTCTCAGACACTCGCTCCTGCTCCCGTGTGCACACAACACACCCTGGGGCAGCCCTGTGCTTCTGCTCCCACTGGACTCCAGCCTGTGTCCACCTCGGCCTGCAGCCTGCCCCAACCCTCTCGGCTTTCCTCCAAGCTGCCACCTCCAGGAAGCCCTCCAGAAGACCTCAGTGGAGCCTGGTCCTGATGGGCAACTGGCAGGCCCCCATCCCCACCCCGCCTGAGTGAGGGTCCCGTGCCCTCTTGCCCACAGGCCTTCAGGCAGAGGCTGGGTCAGTGGCCCCCATAGGGGGACAGCGGGCTCCATGCCCCCTGCCCTGGATGATTTCCTGGAGCCTGTTCCCAGCCGCAACGGCTGGCCCTTGCCCCTCTGGCGTGACCACAGCCCAGGAGGCTGACTGGGTGTCAGGAAGTCAGCAGTGAGGTGGCCCGGGGCTGCTCCTGACCTGGGCGCTGACCTATCCCTGGAACCAGCTTTCCAAATCTGGCCTCCTGCTCTCCCCAGGCCACCTCGGCCCCTCCTGCCCTGGGGTGCCCAGCTCTTCCTGGAAGATGGCTGCACTTGCTCCTGGTCAGGGGAGGTGTAGAGAAACCCCACTCCATCCCACTGCCCGGGCCCAACAGCTCCTGCACTGCCCGGCAGGGGTACGGGCAAAGGAGGGGGTGCCTGTGCCACCGCCAGGGCTGCCTGGCAACCAGCCTCCCCTCCCCCAGGAGGGGACAGCCCCTGGGTCCCTGACAGCCCACTGTGGAGGGAGGAGGCGCCGGCTCTGCCCCCAAACCCCTGGGCTTCCTGTTTCACAGCCCACAAAGCCCTAAAGGCCGGCAGGCCCTGGACATCAAAGGCCCCGGCTGCACATCCCACTGAATTAGGTGTAAATGAGCCCGAGGCCTGTGGCTTGCATTTCCCACAATTACCCCTGCTCTGGGCGGGGGTGGGGATGGCTCGGGCAAGGGTGGGCCGGAGGGGCCTGGGACAGAGCCGCCCTCCGGAACCAGCACCCCCCCCCCGCCCCTCCCTACCCCGAGGCAACAGGGGGAGGCCCAGGCCGGGGTGTAAAGAAGCCCGTAAGGTGGACCCCACTTTGATCCCCAGAGAAAGGACCAGGAACCAGGACTAGGGTAGGGGCAGCCCACACGCGAGCCCCTTCGGCTTGCCAGGCTGGCCGCACTGAGGTTTCCTGGGGCTCAGCGCCCTTGGGGGCCCAGGGTGGCCTGAGGACTCGCACGTGGCGTTCTCTACCCTGGTCTGAGGGCAGTGGCCAGCACGCACGCCCCGGAGACAGAGCAGGAGCCCCGGCCCCTGGGCACTCTGCCCCTGAAGTCCTGCTAGGTGGGGAGTGGGGGGTGGGTGCAGCTGTGGGAGCCCCAGGCCGCCACACAGACCCCTCCTGCTCGCCTCCTCGGCCGGGTGGGCAGTGTCATTTCCCATGCACCCTGGAGGCCCCAGAGGGAGTGAGGCAACAGTGCAGAGGGAGGGGGCGGGGGGCTGGGGGTGGGCAGAGAGACGAGGCCAGTGAGGAGGCCACAGGAAGGGGGCCCAGGAGTCAATGACCCAGGGGATTGTCGGCCCGGGTCTCTGCAAAGTTGGCTGAGCAAACGCCGAGTGTCAGGGAGACGTGACTGGCGGGGCCCCCACGGCCCCCTTTCCGCCCACCTCCCCCAAGCCTTGTTTTTCAGGTCAAACTCCAACTCATGATCCACCCCCTTTGGGACTGATGTTCCAGGAGGCCCGGCGGTGGTCCCAGCAGCCCCATCCACGTCCCACCCCGGGTATCCGGTGCTGAGGCCCAGCCCTTCTTCCCCTGGGGACGGCTCCCCCTGCAGTGTCCCTGAGTCCCCCCACCCCCCTGCCTCGAGCCGAGCCCTCCCCTGCGTGGGCAGCATAATTTTCTGCTTCTCTGGTGCTGCAAATTGACTTGGACCTGGTAGGGGGCAGCTGTAATCTCATCGTCCCCAATCATGCCTCCGCTGGGCCAGAGGCGACCTGGTTTCTCTAAGGTCACCAAAAGCCTTGGCCGCCACGCTTGGGTCGCTTTGCCGGGGTTTGGGGAGGTGGGGGTGGGGGCTGCCTTCCTGAGACCCCGGGAGAGGAAGGAGCCAGGCCAGCCAGGCAGGTGAAGCCAGCCCAAGCAGGCAGGGGGGAAGGAGGGGCGGTGTGGGGGTGGAGGAGGCGCCCCTCGGCCCCCTCGGCCCCTCCGAGCAGCTGCAGGGCTCACTGCCCCGGTGTGAATAGCCACCACAATCAATCACAGAGGCCTTAGCCCAGGGGGCCAAGCAGACCTGTCAGCCGGCTCCAAGCGGCAGGGACAGCTGCTATTCCGGAGGGTTCCCAGGGGCCAGACCCACCAGACAGCAGCCTTAACCCCTCTTTCCCTAGGGGCACCCCCATTGAGGGCCCAAACTGAGGGACTCAGGCCCCCAGAGGCGAGGGCAAGAGACAGAGGATGGAGCCAGCGGAAGAGGTGGTCCTCCAGGCCCAGACTTTGACATCAGGGGAGCCCTGCACCCTGAACCCCCATCGTCTGTCTCAGGTCCCCGTGCAGGTTGGGGGTGCAGGCTGGTGATACAGGCTGGGGGTGTAGGCAGGGTCTCCAATCCAGTTTCCCCCGGCCTGGGGTCGAAGGTCTTCGATGAGACACTGGAAGGAGGGGCAGGCTGACGGATGGGAACAGCTGCTCCCGCAGCCTCACCCGCATGGGCAGGAGAGCCCCCGGCTGCCCCATCCGTCACGGCCCACCCAGGACTGTGTGTCCACACTTTCTTTCCCCTAATCCCCCTGCCGGCATCTGCCCAGTGCTCCCAGCAGTGGGATGCATTTTCCAAATTCTCGGTCGCTGCTGCTTCCTCCTCAAATTCCTTGCCCCCCGGCCCCAGCCTCGCCATGGGAAAAGGCAGTGATGCCCCGACACTTGCTCGGTCCCGGGCTGGGCGGGGGGAGGAGCAGCTGGCCGGGCCCAGCAGCTGTGAGGTCCGGGGGTGCCAAGGAGCAGAGCCCAGATTACGGGGGCGTCATGGGAAAGCTGTGAGGAGACGCTACCCAGAGCCCCCCCTGCCGGCGTCCCGTTCCGCTCCCCGTCTGGAGTTCTGGGCTCCAAGTGGCCCTGGAGGGAGGCAGACAGGGCTCCAACAGGGACCACTGTGTCCTGCGGGCCACAGGCTCTGCCAGGAATGTCCATCTGCCTGGGCCCAGTTACCTGGCTCAGAGCTCGGGGACCAGCTCACCCACCGACACCTGCTCCCTGTGATGGGCCGGCCAACCCCAGCACACCCGCTGGGCGGGCGGGCAGGCTCCTCAGATGGGGCCCGAGATGACCATAGCGAGCTGGGGTTGGGGCTTCCCAAAGGGCAAAGCTCCCTCCTGGAAGGGGCGAGAGTGTGGGCTGGGCCAGGAGAGAGGCAGGGGCCGCCCCAGCCAGGTGTGCACAGGGCAGATGTCAGCAGGGGCTGTGACCCCCACAGGTCCAGGAGCCCAGAGGACAGACTCTCGCGGGCACAGCTGGTGGGCTCCCTGATGCTGATGGTGGGGGGTCCCAACCATAGACCCTGGGCCTCGCCCAGCACACCCCTCAGGCCACCCTGTTCTCCATCAGACCAGAGTTGCACAATGGTCTCAGTCACTCCAAAAGTGCACAGCCAGCACGTCTGCGCTGGACGGCGGCCTGGGGTGGTCTGCACCAATGCTCAGGTCTCAGGGCTGTGGTCAGCGGTCCCTTCGAGGGCCTTGAACCTGGACCTTCCCCCAAGCTGGCCAGCGTGCACGCAGCTCGGGTCCCGCCCTCCTATAGCTCCAACTCCACCCTTTTCAGCAACAGTTCCCCCTTTTCTTTTCTGTAATAAAAATCAGAGTTCTGTCTCCTACCCACTGCGACAGGACCCCAAGGCACTTGGCCCCGGGTCCATGTGGGTTGACTGCAGCCTTCTCCCTGCGGCCGGCCACCTGAAGACGTGCACCCATGATTCCTCCCTAGTGCCCTCGTGTGCGGGGGCCCTCTCCCCACCACCTTTCTCAAGCTTCCCAGTCTCTAAGTGCCCCCTGCCTCCCACGCTGCCCACCCCGCTGGCGTCCACCCTGCAGACCGGGCTGGTGTGCCTGGCCACCTTCCTGGGGATGAATTTGGCACTTCCCTGGGGACATGCTGAGGGTGCCTGGGGCCTGTGTTCCTTCCCACACTGCTGTCCCCACAGCTCCCCACCAGCGGCCACAGCTAGCTCAGGTCCAGCCTCCACTACTCTGTGCAGTGCAGGGCAGGGCTAGGGGAGCCGGGGGTCAGGGGTGGGTCAGAGGACACAGTCTCCTGGTTGTGAGGGGGGTGTCAGTGGGTGCGGGGCGCCAGAGCCAGGCTGGCAGGCCCACCGGGAGAGGGACGGCGAGTAGGACGCTGCCATCTGGCAAGTGCAGGCAGTCCGGAGCTCAGAGTTTTCCAGTCCCTTGGGCAGTTTTTGCTTTATTGTGGTAAAATACATGTGACATAGGAACCGCCATTGGACCCCTCCACTGGGGAACAGGGCAGGGATGGCAAGCACCTGCCACTGCTGCGAGCCTTCGCCGCCTCTCTGTAACGCTTCCTCCTCCGGAACGGAAGCCCCTTGGCTCGCCTGGCCTCCTTGGCCCTCACCCTGGAGGCAGGTGGACAAGGAGGCCGCTCCGTGACACCCCTCTCCTCAAGGGGCCACCCGAGACACAGAAACGTCGGCGGGCCCCCCTCCGGTCCCATGGAAGGCTCATGGCAGCAGGGCCCTGGGCGGAGAGACAGAGAAGCGGCGGAGGGCCTGCGCCCCAAGGTGGCGGCCAAATCAGCCATCGCCGGCAGGGCCAGGCCCTGCTGCCCACCTGCCGGCTGGAGGGTCAGCGGCACCGCCCTGACAGCAAAGGAGAGGGCTCACCTTCCAGCCTCTGGTTGTCATTAGCTGCTCCCAGGCGCGAGGTGGGCCCTGCAGCCCGCCAGGATCCTCGCGAGGGGCCACCTGGACCTCGTTACTCAAGTGGTCGGGTCTGCGAGTGCAGGGCTGGGGGAAGGAAAGGCCTGCCCCCCCCTCCAGACCCGCACTTCGGGGGCTCCGCGACAGAGTGGGACTGAGCTGGGCCCACTCCAGAGCCCGGAAGGGACGTCTCTGAGCCCAGCCGGGGAGGAGACCAGAGGGGGGGCCGGGGAGGACTCGGGAGGACGGGGTTCAGATCTTGGTCCTTCTCCATCCCCTCGGGGTCCCTCTGCCCTCCCTGAAGATGACCTGGATTACCTGCAGTTAAGGTCACTGTCAACGCCGTTTCTGACAGGTGGGAGGGTCGGAGTGCCTCCCCTACCAGCCCCACCCTGGGAAGGACCCTCCTGGGTCTCCACCCCCTCCCAACACCCCAGGAAGTCTCCAGACGGTGATGGAGCCAGGAGGGTGCCGAGGGGACCCTGGAGCAGCCACCCAGGGAGCCCAAGATCCCAGCCCTGTGGGCACAGGGGCTCCAGGCGCCCAGGCCCTGCTCAAGGTGCATTTTACCTGACAGCAGACGCCTGGCCCCAGGTGGGACCGGGGCGGGGTCCAGGGAGGGGCCCCCCGCCTAGGCCAGAGTGGGGCCTGCAGCTCCTGCCCACGTGGAGCAGAGGCCTCGGGGGAGGACCCTCAGGGCCGGGGTGGGGCAAGGCCGGCCTGGAGGCTGGGCGGCTG